GTCACTCGGATGTGAGGAGGCTACTGAGTGTGAAAGAATGAGAAAAATAAAATCATTGAGAGAACAATAACTGGAATTAAGAAGATAATGATTGACATTGCATTTAAACTTTTGAAGATCAAAATTGACTGGAAAGCAAGAAGAGAGTTCCACAAGTGAAAAGTGTAAGAGAAGAAACTTAACATAATTAGCAGTTTCTTCTCTCACACTTACAGATTACATTAAGCCACTTCAACTGTAAAATGAGACCTAGCTGCCAATCTAGTACTGTGCTTAAATTTGTAAAGTCTAGGTATGAAAAAGGAAAGTTCATCAAAACAATTACCATGAAAATATTTATAGGCTACGTTATAGTACTGGGGAAAGTGACTGAAGCTGAGATGCCAGGTGAGGACCAATAACATTGCAGATCTTGTAGGGTCAAATTCTTTAACCTTTTGAGTCACAATTTTGATATAAAGTAGATTCTAAAAGTGATATACCCAGCTTATAGTGATAGTTAATGAGCTAGTGTACAATCTTCACATGTGCCCCCACTAAAGACGCCTTGTGTTGTATCAAACAAAGATTAAAACATAGAAGCTTAGAAACAATCTCAATGGTGCACAGAAGTTATTGTACTAGTTTACTTATACTATTAAAAAAAAAAATATTTAAACTTTTGACATATAATGCAATGATAGACATTGCAAAATTACTATCCACATATCTGCAAGATGAAAATAATCTAGGAGTGAAAAATAAATAAATTATATTTGTCTATATTTTTGAGAGAAGGTATTGTAACTATTTACATTGTTTGAACTGTTGTCCTCATCTTTGTCATATTCATGATGTTTCAGCTGTTGTACACACCAGCCTTCTTCAAATGATATATGTTGGAATTTCAAACTGAACCCATTATTTTGTCCACTGGGGTAGATTGTTCTAGTTCCACATGTCATGCCTTTCCTCGATATCTGTTTCAGTTATTTCCCTTTAGTAACTCAACTTTCCATTTTTTTTAATTTTTTTTTTTTTTTTCGCTTCTGCTATGTTCAAACTCACAACTCTTTGGGTGAAATCACTGGATTACTTTAACCAATACTTTTATCCACTGGGCCATGTATCCATGGGAAATAACTGAAACTGAAATATCCAGGAAAGGCATGTCATGTGGAACAAGAACATTCTACACCAGTGGACAAAATAAAGGGTTCAGTTTGAAATTCTAACATATATCGCTCAAAGAAGGCCAGAGCGTACAACAGCCGAAACAACGTGAATATGGTAATTAAGATGACGACAATGATCTGAACAATGTAAATAGTGTAAATTATAGTACTTTATTTGTCAAGTTTAAATTAACAGAAAATTCTATTTCTACTATATATTCAGAATAGTCCAATAAATAAAAACAGGCATTTCACCTATGTAATGGACTCTACTAGTGAGATACTTTATATATATTGTGCAACATTTTTGTATGTAATATTTATGGGTAAATTTGGTCAATATCACAGATAGAATGCATATCAATGTAAAAATAGGCATTGATATCAATACCGGAAGGCAACAGTCTGTTTAATACAATCTTCAGACCATTATGACTTTAGTGTCAGTCTTTGTTGTTGTGATAACAACAACAAAGTTGAGGACAATAGTTTGCATGTAAATAGTGTAAATAATAACTTCTCATCCCAGAAATTCAGACTAAAATTATTGAATTTTTAGTAGAATTTATCTGAAAGCAGGTCCATGTTTTTTTTTCATAAAATGTTCTACTCCAAAATTTCATTTTCTTCCACTACCCACCCATGGAAATCCCTTCCATTTCTTTGCTTTTATGATAACTACAATCTTCAAAAATTTAACTCCAACATCAATTGGCATCTTCTGTCATCTTGAACCCTATTCATCTTTTGTCCTTTCCTCAATCTGCACTCTTCTCTTTCACTTATGCTCCCTGTAACACTCTGTGTATTAGTGGCATTACTGATGGGATTAAATAATTAAGGAAAAAAAAAAAAAGTTATGTATAGTTGTGACTTTTAGGCTTATTCTTATTTTAGAAGATTCTTTGTCTTTTTAATATAAAAAAAAAAAAAAACCCCCAAAAAAAAAAAAAACAACCTGATATCCAGTAATTATAAAAGCAGTCACTGATTTTTATTAACAAAACATCATTTAGTAAAAAGTTAATACTTTATATGGTTGTACCTTTTGCCTTCAAAACCTGAATCATACAATGCATCACTGAATTTAAAGAGAGTGAGGGATTTTCTCTCATGCATCCATGATGATTTGTTTTACCTCAAGAGTTAAATATGGAGTATTGACAGTGTACATATCTTTTGCTTTCCTTCCTCAAACATTTTCTATGCAATTTTTTTTTTTTTTTTACAGGTAATGCAGATCATTCTATTACTGATGAGAAGTGATTACCGAAGTATAAAACAGTTGTCTTTGCAGAATGGAAATTCTTATTGTCTTGCTGAAAGAAGAACTTTTTCCTTTCTCCTTTATTTATTGGTATCTTTAGGATTGGGCTATGTTTTAACATCTTTGTGCTTGAATGTTGGCAAAGTTCCATTAATAATAAGACAGTATAACCTACAGCCAATAAAGCCACCCCAGACCATAATCCCTTAACCACCAAACCTACAAGCAAACCTTTTTAGTGTTGTTTCTAGATTATACTAAAGAAAGCCATAGTAGTTATATCTGTCAAAACTGAAGTGCTTTTTGCCAGTTCAGATCGAATTCTGCAGATCAGGGTGCTTTTTGAGGATCATCTCTACCCACTGGCATCTGGCTTCTTTGTGGCATTTACACAAATAAGATTTCAGTTTAGCTTGCACCAGTGCTACATGAGAGTTACTGGCCAAGATGATGTGAATGGAAGATTTTGATATTTATTGTAACTGGCTTATTGTTTGTATAATTTTCCAAACACCTTGTGATGGATTTTCTATAGCATCTCTTATAATTCATTGTTTAGTCTGCTTGGAAATCTTTATTTTCTTGCCAGCTAGTTTTCATGTTACACCTTAAGCATCAAGATCCCACAAAAAGTTTTAGATAACACTAATAAACTGAGATTTTCCTAAATTTTGTAGAAGGTGGCTTTGCAACATCTGGAGGGATCTTGGAGTATCAACATCATTCACTTTTCATTCAAGTAAGAATGCTTTTTCTTCTGACACAAGCAAGGAACCATTCAGTTTTTTCAAAGAATCTTGTAGGAAGCTATTTTTGTTTTTTTTAAACCAATTCACCCCAAGCAAAGCAATAATACCACTAGATGCAATTGGTTACTGGGAGTGAAAGAGAATGAGAAGACTTTAGGATTATGTTTCCAATTCCTTCTAAACAGGAAACAATAGAATAAACCTCTACTTTTGTGAACTGGATGATGGACAAACCTATCATCTCTTCCCCAGTTTAGAATTACAGAAAATCAAATTTATCAGTTATATGGGAAAATTTTGTGTAACATGTTTCATCCTCCATGAGGACTTCATCAGAATCAGAGAATTTTTCCACTTTGTCATTCAATTGCTCAATTAGATATATATTAGTTGCTGAACACAGAACATGAGGTGTAAGCTAAAGAAAGAAGAAAAAAATAGTTTTATGTTTATTTTCCCTTTAATTATATACAAAAAAATAAAAATGATATTTTAACTCTTTTAGATTATAAAAATAAAGGGGAAAAAATCCACAAATCCTGGGTTCTTAAAATTAATATTTTTCAACAAGTTATGTATTCTTTGCACTATTTTTCACTTTTTTTTTCCTTTGAAAAGTAGAGATGCAAACATAACCCTGTCTTAAGCTTGTTCTTTCATCTTTATTTTCAAGCAACTACTCCAAAAAAAAAAAAAAAAAAAAGACAACCTCACATGAATCATAAATGAATGTTTGAATTGTTGCAAAAAAGTTTAAATAATCAATTGAAGACTGAGCTGCAATGAAATACCAATTGACAATGATACTCACCATTTAAGGCTTGATCATGGAATAAAACACTTCAGAAATACATTGACTGTTCACTTAAATGTACACTATAACCTTCTGTTCATAAAACATTAGAAATCATTTTTGTGTGTTCTTGAATAAGACAGACAAGGTACTTTTTAATAAATGTAAAAGGTTTGTTGGCTCTGAGTACTTTTGACTAATTTATTAGTCATTTTCAAGGATTTTAGTTACATACCATTTATTATAATAGCATAAGTGCTGTTGTAGATGGGATAAATGTTGCTAAAAACTATTCTTAATTGACAAATACAGCCAGTATAATGTGGTCATGTTCATAATTGATGTTATTAAAGGTTGGTTACTTGTCTTTATTTTAAGGACTTCCAACAGTTTTTACAGCTAAGCACATGAATGTGATATGTACCTCCAAATGCAAGAAATTAATTACAAGACTTAACCAGTTCTAGCTAATCCTAAGAAAAAAAAAATGCTCAATACATAAACTGTAGAGCAATTCTAAGTTTAAACCATTATTGTAAAAAAAAAAAAAAATATACCTATTTTTTTTTTATAGATTATGCAAAAGCATTTGACAAAGTACATTACAAAAATCTGTTAGGTAAGCTTGATATATTTTGGGAAGGATATTAGAAAAATTCAAGGGTTCAAACCTGCATTGCCCTTTGTTGGAGAAACTAACATTTTTATCCAGCATGTCTTAAAATTCTCAGTTAGAGAGTGTGACAGCCAAGCAAGCGACCACATTTTCTTTCAGATTTTTCATGTGATTAGACATAATACACACAAAAATGGAGCATCTATTTCAAACATGGTTATCCACTCTTGAGAAAAATCTGGTGCTTTCCTTAAATAGATGTCCTGTTTAATTTCAAATACAGGTATTCATTAAAAATAATGTTTAAAGTAATGAAATTCTTAGACTCAATGTGTTGATGATCAGATTTGGTACTGAATAAAAAATATACTATGATACAATAATTCAATTATTTCAAGATGTTTGCTTGCTTTAAAAAGTTTCACTGGTTCTCATACGATCACCAAAGTTAAGCAATGTTGAGCCTGTTCAGTACCTAGATGGGTGACCACTTGGGATTACCAAATGCTGTAAGCTCAGATGTGTGGGTGGTGTAATGAGTAATAGCTTAGAATTGGAAATCAAAAAAACCAAGGTTCAATTCCAGTAGGATTTATTATATTATGTGCAAATACGAATGGGAAAGGTATGAATCTACCTCTTTTCTTAACAGCTATGGGTTAATTAGTATTAAAAACTTATAATCTAAAAATATTTTCTGGCTTTAAATAACCTACAAAGGTTGATAAGCTGTAAAAAATAAATCAACTAAAACTAAGCAGTTTCATAGGGAGAGTCTCTTTTCTCTCATTTATTAGGGCAATTTATTTAATTCACTCCCAGCTTAGTAGGTCATGTCAGTCATACATTTTCAGGAACAGAAGATTATAATGCATCTGGAAGTGAACTGTAGATATACATTTGAAGTGTTTTATTTCATGCTTAATAGTTAAACTTAATATAAAATTGTTTGTATTAGTATCAGCTTGGCTACAGCAGCTGCCAAAAAAATGTCAAGGTTGACTTTTCAAGGGGCTCAACTCCTGGTTTTGAATTTAGAGTTGTCCTTTCCTTCAGACAGGTTATCAACCAAGGTTAGTGTCTAATCTGCCCCGTCATACATAGTTGCAATACAGTAAATAATTTTTTTTTAGCATTAAAACCATTTAATCCTTTTTCTGTGTGTGTATCAATAAAGAACACATTAAAAAATATTCATCAATCATAATATTTTTTAATATATTCTAGAGTGAGATTGACAAAAGTAAAATGATTTTTATGTATAATTTGATTTACTGATAACTGGCAAGTTGTTTGTTTTGCCTTGAACCAATATAATTAATTTACATCTGTTTATATTTCTGAGATGAGGTACTGTAACTATTTACATCATTCGAATTCTTGTTCTCATATTGCCATATTCACAATCTTTCAGCCGTTGTATGCTCCAGCCTTCTTCTGATGTAAATAATTTACAGTCTCAGGTAACTCTTTCAGCTTAGTTTTCAAAACGTTTTCTTTTTTTTTTTATAAAGTTAACAAGATCTTTTTATACATAAGAGGAACATTTGACAGACAAATGGTGTTTTGTTATTGTCAACTGCTTAATTTTTGCTATATCAAAGTGGCAGCAATAAATTTTAAAGCTTACTACTGGATTTGAACTTTTTCTTAGAATTTTAACTTCAAATTTAACTCTAAAAGTAGATGTTTTCTTTTAATAAATTTAAATAACGTATTAATCTATTCTTGTAGAGATTAAATAAAACTTATTCTATATGAGGAGAAGCTGAAAAGTTCTTGGTTCAACCCACTTCCCAAAATCTGACCAAACATCAGAATTTGATATGGAATCCCTTCTTACCCAGGTTGAGGTTCTTCAGCACCCTCTCAGATTAAAAACTGCAGCAATGAACTTGAAAGTCTGTAATGTTCAAATCCCCAAGCAACCAAAAGGAAACTTTTTAATTAATAAATTTAAATATTGTATCTCCCCCCCCCACTTAATACAATAGCTTCCATAACAGTTAAACCATGGATACCTTCTGGTTACAGTCTTTCAAGTATAATAACAACACTATAGCTAAGGATACTAGTTCAAGTCTCACTGAAGTCTTATTCTTTTATTTCTAATCTGCAATTGATGATTTGAGAATTGTGATAAAAAGTAACTGAACTTAAGATGAAAAATACTAGTTAAAAAAAAAAAAAAAAGAAAGAAACAATGCTTCATCCAAATGTAGAATAGAAGTGAAAGGTCTCATTCGATAAATGGGTTGGGGGCTCTGCAAGCAGACACTGGAGGACATAAGTTACCTCCTCCAGTGTTATATAAACAGCTTAGTGGTCAGGGGTCAAATGTATTTTTGTATTTGTATCTCGCTGATACAAGAATATAGTAATTCAGAATTATTTCTACCATTGTCATTGTGGTTATTTTACACTAATAAATTTAAGATAATATTTATAATGGATACTACTAGTGTATGTAAACATTAATGATGACAGTGAATCAAGCATTCAGAGGAAAATAAAAAATGAAAGTTATATGGTTAGATTTGAGTCTCTGTAGTCAGTTGCTTTTGGGATGCCAGTTAAAATCCTCCAAGAGGCTTTATTCTTTATTTTTGCTCTATGTTGCTTACTAATGATTGTAAAGTGACAGTAAGAATTATGATAAAAAGGAATTTCAATTAAAATGTTTTTATTGTAAGAATTTTTTGGAGATAAAAATGATTTACTGACACAAGTCCTACTAATTAACCCATAGCTGTGGGGAGAAGAGAAGAAGAGGTTGATTCATAACTTTACTAAGAGAAATTAAGTGAATATAACAAACCAGACTTGAATCAAAACTTGGCGCTCCAATATCTAATTCTGAGCCGTTATCTATTATTCCACCGCCCACGCATCTAAGCTTAAAATACCTGATATTTCCAAGTGGTAACCTGTCTAGGTACTGACCAGGCTTGATGTTGCTTAACTTTGGTGACCATACTAGAACCAGTGTTTCAATGTAAAACAATTAAGATGAAAGAAATGCTAGTCCAAAACTTAATAATAGATTTTATTGTATTAATCAAATTTAGCATGTTATTTGATTTTACTGTACAAGAAAAAGAGAGAAAACATTACACAAGATGAAATATTATACTAGAAAAGTATTTGATGCCAGAAATGGGTCATTCAGTTCAAAATATAATTTTTTTTTTTTTTGATAAGGCAGAGATAGGTAAACTTTATACAACATATTTAATGAATATGAATGCTATTTTCCTACCATTTAAGCCTACCACCAAAAGAGAATATTTCATTCTTCCTCACATATTCAAAATGTATAGATATTGACTGAATTTTCACTATTACTATTGTCTGCTTAGCTTAGATGATAATGGGGGGGAGGACACCTTCCAGGGGGAATTTTTGTGTGTGCTGTTTAAGTCTTACTTTTTCACAAGGTTCTTGTTGACTATACTCTTCATTAAAATAAAATCAATTTAAATACTTTGGCCTTTTATTGAACATTTTATTTATTGAAGTATGCTTCAGTTTATTTATTTAATATATACAGGTTTAAAAATCAATCATTTTCCATTGCTATTAAATTTGTAAAACTCTTATCTAAAAATAATCCATGTGTATATGGTGATTTTCTAAGCATAGCTTAGATGTGGCACAAGGCCAATATTATAGGGCACCCAGTGAGCATCACATTCTCTACTCAGTCGTAACTGTCATAGCAAGACAAGCTTGCTAACTATTACACCACGTCACAGTGTCCCCATCTAAACGTATATCTACTATGGAAAGAATGAAGATTTTAATAATATATGCATATTATTTGGAATGTACCTTTTGAGTCCGACAATCTTAGAAAACAGAGAGGGGGGGGGAATAACATTCTGACATATGGTGAAAAGGGCAAAAAAAGGGTGAGAACCATTGGCTTACATACACAAACTATATGCTTCTGTGAACTTTTGAAAACCTTAGCTTTTATTTCAGACTTGTAAATTTTATATTCTTTTTAAAGCCTTGGCGTTTATTCAAATTAATTGTGAATATAAATTGTACAACTCTTGTCAGACTAAAATACGATTAAAATTTCATTGTATAAAAAAATTTTGAATAACAAAAATAAAAAGGATACTTTTTTAAAAAATAAAAAAATAAAGTATGACTAACCTATATGGGTTACATAGCATAATTTTCCTCTGAATTAATAAAGGTTTTGTTTTACATTTAATAAAGATGTTATAAAATTTATCAATGCACTTTTTCTACTTCTTTTATCTGATGGACACAGCCAACTAGAGCAATGTTCTTAAATAGTGTTGTTCCCTGAATCAATTTAATAAGTAGCATAAATAAGAGGAGGTGCTGAAAAGTTATTGTCCTAACCACTTCCCAAAATCTGACCAAATAGAAACTCTTTAAAAAAAAAAAAAAAATTTGTTCAGCCAGAAACTTCAGCATCCCTCTGTGGATTGAGATTTTGCAAGTATACAGATATTTATTTTATAGACAGAGCTAACTAGAACACCAAGAAACATCTATAGAACACTGTAATAAATTAATCCACAATGGGTGACAAAACTAATACTCTACTCACCAGTCACTGGCAGAAACTATTGCAGTACTTATTTGATTATTGGGGCACCTTGGGATAGGGGTTGAAAAATATCTTCAGATAATTCAAAATTTTGGATCATTCATCTATGCTTTGAATATTACTGCTGCATATAGTCTGGTTCTCCTCTTGATAAAATTCAAAGAAGAATCAGCAATATTATTAGTCTTGACATGGCGTCTTAGCTTCAGTCACTTTTCCACTGTTGTAATGTAGCTTCCCTGGGCCTTTTATATAAATACTTTCATTGTTACTGTTTGGATTAACTTTTCGCTATGGCTTTATGAATTTAAGCACAGTAATAAATTGGCAGCAAAGTCTCATCAATTCACAGTTGAATTAGTTAGATGTAATGATAACTTCTGTTAAGTTTCTTTTCTCGCACTTCTTGTTTGTGGAATACTTCTGTCTCCATGCCAAATTTGATCTTCAAAAATTTAAATGCAATGTCAATTGTTGTCTTCATGATTATTATTCTATTGTTCTAACTCCTTGATAATTTTTTTTTTTTCTAACAGCTTTTTTGTCAGGCCAAGAACTTTTCAGTATCCCTTTGTGGATGGAGATTTTACAAGCATACAGATATCTGATGGACACAGCTAACTAGAGCACTAGGGAATAACAAATTCATCCACAATGGGTAACAAAATTAATATTCTAATTACCACTCACTGACAGAAGCCATTATAGTATCGGGGGGGTATAGACAAATATGTTTGGCTAATTAAATACCTAAATTATCCAAAAAAAAAAAAAAAAAAGTTATTTTCTCTAAGATATTTTATATTTATGTCATCAAGTAATATTTTAAAATGCTTTGTTCAAGATTTTTTCTATTTTTTTTTTTTTTTGTTTTTTGAAAAATGAGTCCATATTTATCTGTTGCTAAAACCCACAACCAACTT